CATGAGGATATCTTTCCGTTTGCATCACCATCTCTAAATGATGATGTTAAACACTTCTTTCCTCATGTTCATCCACCTGCTGTCCCTGATGTTGTGTTCTATAAATCAACATCTTCTGATACACATCCCCAGCAAGATGTGTTATCATCTAAGGATCTTCTTCCCTCTGGAAGTCGACCTATTCGAAACAAGAAAACTCCATCAAATTTGCAGGATTTCCATTGTTACAACTTTGATACTTCTCATTCTTCTTCCACACCTTACCCAATGGCCAAATACATTTCACATTCCTCTTTATCTGAACCATTTCATTCTTTTATCAATTCTATCACAAAGTCAAAAGATCCACAAAAATTTTCAGAGGCTTTGTTGGACCCGTTGTGGTTTGATGCTATGAAAGAGGAGATAGGTTCTCAGGAACGAACAAAGACTTGGAGTGTCTGTTCTTTACCACCTGATAAGAAGCCGATTGGATGTTAATTGTTATTCAAAACCAGATATCATGCTGATGGCACAGAAGAGAGGAAGAAAGGTCGTTTGGTTGGCAAAGGTTATACACAGGAAGAATGTGTAGACTATCAGGAAACTTTCTCACCTGTGGCTCAAGTTAGCACGGTTCGTATACTGATAGATGCTGCTGCCAAGATAAAGTGGTCACTTACTCAGTTAGACATTTACAATGCCTTTCTCAATGGTGACTTGGATGAGGAGATTTACATGAAATTGCCACCTGGATATGAAGAACTCACTGGTGTTTCAGTCCCTCCGAATGCTGTTTGCAGACTTCACAAATCCCTATACGGTCTCAAACAAGCATCTCGTCAGTGGTATCTGAAACTTTCTTCTACTATCTTGCAGATGGGTTTCACTAAATCTCGAGATGATCATACTCTTTTCGTCAAATATGAGAATGGAAAGTACTTAGCAGTACTAATATATGTTGATGACATTTTGGTGGCCAGTAACAATACTGTTGCAGTAGAGGAGTTTGTTGGTGCGTTGGAGTCACACTTCAAACTACGAAACCTTGGAGATGCAAAGTACTTTATTGGTTTGGAGATTGCACGTTCTGAACATGGTATATCTGTGTGTCAGAGGAAATATATTCTCGAGCTTCTTGAGATTCAGGTTTCCTTGGCAGTAAACCGTCTTCTATTCCTCTTGACCCCACTGTCACTTTGTTGTCAGAGACTATCATCCCTCCTAACGGTGATAAGATTGTGCATGAGATGGGTCCTTTGCTTGAAGAGCCGAAGGTTTACGGAAGATTGATGGGAAGATTGATGTATTTGGCTATTACTCGTCCTGACATTACTTATACCCTCACCAAGTTATGTCAATATTCCTCTGCTCCACGTGAAGCACATCTTAAAGCTGCTCATAAATTGCTTCGTTACCTTAAAGGTTCCGTGGTACAAGGACTATTCTATGCTGCTGATGGGACGTTTGATCTACGTGGGTTTGCTGATGCTGATTGGGGATCCTGTCTTGATACTAGGAAGTCAATTACGGGTTATGCAATGTTTCTTGGCGAATCTTTGGTCACTTGGCGTGCTAAGAAACAGCGTACCGGCTCACGTAGTACTGCAGAAGCTGAGTTCTGTGCCCTTGCAGATGCTTCTTTGTGAGATAGAATGGCTCCTGCATATCATGAAAGATTTGAAGATACCAATTACTCTACCTACTCATCTATACGGAGACAACACTGCTTCTTTACACATTGCCAACAACTCTGTTTACCATGAGAGAACTAAACATGTAGACCAAGACTGCTACATCATTAGGGAACGCATTGACAATGGCATGATCAAGACGATGCATGTGCGCACGCATAACCAGATTGCCGATGTTCTAACCAAGGCCTTGTACCCTACACCATTTCGGGATCTCATTTCCAAGATGGGAGTTCTCGATATCTACACACCTCCATCTTGAGGGGGGGGGGGGTATTAGCCGGTTTAGGATGGTTCAATGTATATATAAATTAAGTTGGTTTAGTTCCGGTTTAGGTTACTATATATATTCAGTTTTGTAACAAACTTTACGGTTACTGAGATTAATGGAAAGTTCATTTTACACATTTCTCTGATGAACTTGAATCTCTATTAAAAATGATGTGGAAGAGATAACCAGAACCGAGTTCAGACGCTCTCTAGGCTACAATTTGATACGCATTGAGGAACCTGAAGAAGACATCAACCCAATCTTCCTGAACTGTATGAGAGCCCTGGCTGCCCACAACTCAGCTGCAGTGAGAAGGCCACAAAAAGATCATGGACAGTACTCACGATCCGTGGGTTCTCGACAATACCAATGCTGATATTTCTATTACCATTGCTTTAGTCTGTTTTATTTGCTTCTAGATCTATTGAGTACATTATATTTCTTTTTGGCATGTTTGTAATTTGTGTGTCTTTTCTAGTGTAAGTTATGATGATAATTTTTTTTTTAATTTAAAAATTATGCAATACAATATTCCAAATACAAAATTATAGCTATGAAAATTAACGTCATAGCACAAGAAAAAAGCTACCTTATAGTATTCAGTGACATATAGAAAATGCTATTATAGGTGCAGGCATCCAGCAACACAGGAGTTACAAAAATATTCCATGGCAAAACAAGAAGAGTTTAACATTCCGAACTTCACATTTATCTTCCGAACTTAACATTTATCCTCTCCTAAAAAAATAAGAGATAGACCGTCATAACGATTGGGCTTGATTCTTTTATAAAACCACATGAGGGCATTTAGCCGTGTTTTAGACCTTCTCAGGCTGTTTTTCGATTAAAGCGTTTTTACGATTTATTGAAAGAGCGCTTCCGAAACAACGTCGATTCTGAAGAAAGTTTGAGTTTCTCGTATAGTGGAGGCAGCTTAAGGTGTTTAGTTAATTGTTGTCAATTTATATGATCAATTCGAACTTCATAGGAGAAAACAATTCCTTGTGGTTCGTAAAGTTCCAACGGTAACTCCGATTGAGATAAAACAAGAGCCAGTTTGATCTGATCTCGAAAGAGGAAGCTACGAGGGTGGGAAGAAGACGTATCGGTTGATCCAACTCGCTGAGCGGGTGAGTTGGACTGCTTGTTCGGTCAAACTCGCTGTGCAGAAAAGTTGGACTGCTTGTTTGGTCTAACTCTCCATTGGGGCAAAATGTACATGTGCCCAGCTTGCCCCGTTGGCGAGCCGTGTTGATCGAGCCTTATGCTCGTTTTGTTGTTTTGATGCTCGGGATCCGTTTGTCTGAGGCTTCGAGTAACCTTTCTCGAGGACTTATCATATGAATCTTTTTCAAAATTCATACAAAAACTCAATTTTGGTTTTCCGCTATATTTTTTTTTAAAAATATTATCTCTTTTTGTTTAAAGAGAAACATTTTTTGGAAGTTTCAGTTTTTGATTTCGTCGTAACCGATTTGACCCAAACAGTTTTCCCCCAGATAATTAGAATCATGATCTTCTTGTGAGCGATTAGGTGTTTAGGTAAGTTAGGTGGAATTCAATGAATGAAAGTCCGAAGGTAAATAGTGAATTTTGTTGACTATAACTACGTGGAGTAAGTTTTTAAATTATTTACTTGTTTATTTCCACAAAAACTTTTCAAAGGTAGAAAGATCCTTTCTCATCCTCTCATGTTGGTGTTTTATGATCATGTCTTCAAGAAGAAGAGCTTCTGCCAAGGCCCATCCCAAGCGTTCTGTTCCCGATGGCTCTAGCGCACAACATAGTGATGTTGAGCCAAAGGTTGAGTTTGTGGCACACTCGGTTGACCCCGAAGAAGCCGATGCGTACTGGGCGACCAGGGGCATACTAAAGCCTCCTAGGCCCGGAAATTGGGTTCCTCCACTGTTTCGTGCTAACCCTATCGCAGGTTGTCCAAACCAGAGCTGTCCCAATGGGCTTGATGCCATTCGGAGCTTTTGCAACATTCCAGAGTTGGTGGAGTTTCGTCTCCCAAGAGCTGGGGAAGTCGCCAAGTTTCCACCTGATGGTTAATTTATGTGTTATGAGGCGAACTTAATGCAATGCCACTTATGGTTTCCTATCCCGGAAGCTATCGTGCGGATCTTCAATCGTTTTGAGTTTTCAGTCAACCCGTGAGGTTTTCAGCACCTTGTCGGGATTTTGGTGCTGAGCTACGAACGGGGTATGATCCTTGACGTCGACCATCTTGATGGTCTTCTGATGCGTCAGGGGAATTCGGCCCTAATACAACTGAGTCCAGAGCCAAACATTACGATCATAACATGATTCGTTTCAAACTACCACTCTTTGAAGAAGCATTTCTTCTTTTTCAATGTCAGTAATGAATCCGCGGAAAATAATTGCATTCCCATCTTTAGGACCAGATGGGGCCGGAAAGGTACCTCCAATCGGATATACGCCATTTTTGGTTCTGCAATATTCGATCTTACACATTTGTTCTTCGTTTGGCAGTGAATAATCCTCTCCCCCCTACTCCAGATGGCTTCGCACCGTCAAAGATTTACTCCATGGCGGCCCATTCTTTTAGGCCCTTTTCCCTCCAAAATGGGTTCGTCATGCTGTTGCTCTCCACCATTCTCGGTTCCAGCCGGAATTACCGGTCGAAGAAGGGGAAGAGTCAAGCATGGACGGGTTCATTCCGTATGAGGCTCCAGTGGAGAGGGAAAGATCGAGGCCCAACAAATACAAACACGTTATTGTCGACGATGACGCAGTATTTGGGCAAAGCTCTCCCACTGACAACATGCTCAGAGATTATCTCAACAATCAAGCAGGTGGGAGTTGTGGTGACCAGATTTACCTCGATGAGTTGCTTGACTTTGAATTTTCCCTGACTGAGGGAGATTCTAGCGAGGTGCCGGAGTTTTCCAAAGCGTCCAGGATGGTCAATGGGGTAAGTTCTTGTCCAGGAGGCTCGCAAGGCTCAATTACGGGCTGAGACAGCCGATAAGGAGAATGTATGTCTGAAAGACGAGTTGGAGAATTCTCGTCATGAGAGAGAGTCAGCTGCGATGGAGGTCGGTCGGGCCTATAGGCGAGGAAGGAGAGAGGTTGCTGAAGTTATGAGGTACCGTCATGATAGGTTCTCATGCGAGTTTAGGGAGCTCAAGGGGAGTTATAAGTCTCTGTGGCATTATCGCAAGTGTCGCGGTACCGTGGGCGGACTGCATCTTATGCAAATCCCTGACTATTAGTTCGATGTAGAATATGCGAGGCAGAGTAGGCGTATGAACAATGCCAACATGGACTTTGCAATTCCTCAGATCGAAGAAAGGATTTAGGAGCAATGGGATCTGATTCATGTTTCTCCTGACACGGTGGAAGCCGAGGCGGGAGCTCCCAAAGAGACCAATGAAGTGAACCTGCCGATGGCTCCACTAGATGTCTACGACTACTCGATCGGTAGGTCGATGTCTAGGTTCTTCTGTCTCTATGATTGATCTTGAGGGGTTCCGTGACTTTTTGGGAAAGTGTTCCCTTGCTTTGTAATATATTTCTGATGTTTGTTCATCTCCGGCCAAGTGTGACTGTGTTTCGTGTAGTCGGGACTAGCCATGTGTGGCTTTCAGTCCCTGCCTCTTCGCGGCTCTCATAGGAATAAACTTATTCTCTTTTTTTGAAAAGAAGTTTAAGAACATTCGAATTTTTGTTAAGTGTAGAGGGAAGAATATGAGTTTTCATCTTGTTCTTAACCCTTTTTGCAGATCGTCATATTCGATACTCGATCGAGATGTTTGAGAAGTTTTTAGAGTTTGGAGAGAGTTTATATATGGACGAAGAGACATGCTTTCACGATCTCGTACCTTTTTGATATCATGCCTTGAGACGCTAGAGCCCAGTGTGCTGGGTTTAGGTTAAGACCTAGGTTTACTTTCGGTTTGAGGCTTTGCGAGGACTAATCGGCTTTCGTTTGTATGTTTCAAATTTAACCTGACTCTGTTTCGATTTAAAGTCCGCGATATGTCCTTAGCTTATATGACTTGTCTGGTCGGAGTCGAGTATCTCCCCAGAGACAATTTTTATGTCGTCCGGAAGTGCTGACCAAAAATTTGGATTTTTTTTAAAGCGCGCTATTTATCCTAGTTGGATGTACAAGGATCTATCACTTAGGACGAATCTAAATGAGAATTCGTCCCAAAAAAACGCTTTACTTTTGTTGACTTTTTAGTTTATTAAGTAACTTATGGTTGACTCACCAAACTAACACACCGTTAACTCAGTTAACAGATAATTTAGATGCCATTAAGTCGACGTTAAGTTTGGCGTTAAGAAATACAGCGTCGTTCTCATCTCATTGTCTGATTAAAGACAAATGAATGAAACAACGTCGTTTTATGTAGATTTATTATTAAAAATTTGTGCTTCCATCGCGAATCGAACTGGTGCAATTGTAGTTAATGGTAGGGGTTTTGCCACTAAGCTAGTGGACTTTTCAGTAGATTGACGAACAAAATTACTTTTAACTTAAGACATCCCGAGTTAAATGAATAAAAAAAACGACAACGTTTTTCTCTTCTGATGTCTATAAACCAAAATAACCTTAAATTCCCGAAATCTAAAATTGACGAAGAAACCTAAGAAGCTAAGCTTGATTCTCTTTTATTTCTTCCTTAAAAAGCTCTATTCTCACCTTTCCTTCTCGGTTCTCACCTTTCCTTGTTTGGGTATCGCATGATGAGTTCGGGTTGTGAGGATTCGTATGTGAATATGATGGGTATTCGTGGTATTCCGGAGAAATGCGACTGTGGTCGAAGCACTGAGATATACACATCAAAAACGAAGAAAAATCCAGGAAGAATTTTCTTTAGATGCCCAACGTTTCGAAATGTAAGTGTTTAATTTTACTGTGGGTGCAATTGATTATGTTTAAGAAATTGTTTGAATATAAAGCTTCAATTAGGAGATGTAATAGTCAGTCATGATTCTATTTGTGTCCAGGATCACTTGTATAAATGGGTAGATGAAGCTGTCTACGAAGAGGTTCACGATGCATTGCCAAAAGTTGAGTGCTTTGCATCGGATCTTATGAAAATTAAAATGGAGATCCAAGGCATCAAAACAGTGGAAGAAGAGTTGAAAGAAGATGTCAAGAAGGCAAGCAATGAACCTAAGAAGCTGAATGTGATCATGAAAGTGGGTTTTGTGATGGTTTTCTTAGACATTGTGATATGTCTTATGTTTATCATTCTTGAGAAAGCAAATGGGTGGTCTTTGAATAGCTACTAGGAGACTCTGTTTATGTAATTGTAATGGTTTGAGTGTTATGGACTCATGGTTTATGTAAGTATAATTTTTAAGACTCGGTTTATGTAATTCTAAGGATTTGGTTTCATGGTTTATGTAAGACAGTTTACTTCTTGATTGTCACAAGAACACACCAAAATAAAAGAGTAAATAACCATTCAATGTTGTTCCAGAACGACAAATGAACAAACCAAAAGACAAATGTTGTGAATAAACAGGGATACACTGAAGCATTCCGACAGAGACAACATCATAAACACAGAAAAAAACTAACATACAAAAAAACAAAAGAGTAGTTCTTGTTCCAAAAGCATTTAAAATCCAATCCAACAGAACCATCTTCCCCACACTGTTGTCTGTGATGCTTGATCTGCAAAAGATTTACCTTGTGAGGATTGACCTTGTGAAGATTGGGGAACTTCCCATAGTGATTCTTGAGCTTGTGAGGACTGAGCTTGTGACTCTTCAAAATGTAGTCCATGTATCAATAAATGAATCGTGAATAACCTCAAAAAACTCAGACACATTACTAATAGCTTAAAACTAAGACCGTAACCTGATTTTTCCTTGGTCTGCCTCTTGGTTTCTTAGGTGGACTCTGAACAGAAGCATTAGTCTGAGGCCGCTCTATTAGTCTGAGGCCGCTCTATCATCCCATTTATAGGTCTGATCCCATAACTGTACGTTTCACGCCACCTAGAGGTTGTGTAGCAAGGAGCAACAAATTCAAAAAGTTTTCTGCCCGCACCAAGGATGACCTTAGCAGCATGGATGCATGGAATACCATTGATTTGCTAGCTTCGACATGCACAAGTCTCCTTCTCCAAATTCACAACATATGACTAGTCTTGTTACTCCACCTCAGTCTCTGGCCCAATTCCCCAACGCAGTCTACACTCTTTGGACTTCTTCTCAACCCTGTCTAATTCTTTATGTGTCTTCTTGGTGAACCTAGTCTTCATGTCCTTAGCCATCTTAGCTCTATTGTAGCTCCTAGTCATACATTGGCTCCTTATATCCTCTAACATGTCTAGCAGAGGCTTTTTCCTAGCCTCCCTGATGGTCTTGTTGAATGACTCACACAAGTTGTTCAGATTATCATTGCAGTAGGAGCCTACCTTGAAGAAAGCTCTAGACCAAGTCTCTGGCTTTATCTTTAACAGAGACGCATGTGCGCCTGGATCATAGTTCTTAAGCTCCTCCATGTTGTAGTTGTACATACCAGGAGTGGAGCTCTTTGCAATGAACCAGAAGAACCTCTGTACCTTATATCTTTTCCACCTTTCCTCCACTTCTCGTAAATATGGCGACAACACTACCTATGCTCAGCTTCTGGAAGGAGGGTATGAACTGCCTTCACTATTCCATATAAAATCAGAAAAAAAAATGAGAAACAAGAATGAAACATTCACAGAAACTCATGAAAGCAAAGTGTTTACATTTTGTTTGTCAGACATTATAACAAAACATTTCCCATCTTCCAATTCCAATTCCAAATCAAAAGCCAAACGCTTCACAAACCAATCCCAGTTTGTATCATTCTCTATCTCCACTGCAGCCAAAGCAATAGGGACAATCCTATTGTCTCCATCTCTTTCAATCGCAGCCAACAACTGTCCCTTGATGTCCCATTTGAAAAAAGCTCCATCTAAGCCAATAACTGGCCTACAAGTGTTCTTGCATGCTTCCTTTTGTGATTCGAAACACATGTAGAGCCTGTAGAACTTCTCCTTGCTTCGAACTGTGGCTCCTGGTATGGTCTCAATGTCCATGGTTGATCCATGATTGCTTCTGAAGATCTCTGCTTGGTAATCCTAGATTTTACCAAAATGCTCCTCATGAGTCTTCCTCATTTCTCTCATCAACTTCGTCTTGGCCTTGATTCATGAGTTTTATTTCGCTTCCATCTTATACTCCCTCAAGATCTCAGACTGTATCTCCTTTGCTGTGAGCTTAGGATTCCGTCTTAACCTCTCAGCAAATAGACTTGCATTTGCTGACCTATTAAGTATCCTAGAATGCCATGTCTTCTCACACTTATGGTCATTGACGTATGTCTTTACCATAAAATTCTGTTTCCTCTTAATGTAAGAACAGTAAACCATCCAGGGACATGGATCCTCATCATCTCTCATCTCAGCAGCACATTTCGCACCCATCTTCAAGCTACTAGATCTGTAGAACTTGATGTTGTATCCGGTTTTGAGGGTATACCTGAGACAAGTATGTTTGAAGTCCTCAGCATCTGAAAATGTCTTGCCAAGCTGAAGGAGCTCCTCTGGATCAGTGTCTGCTCTGTAAGCTTCCGCAGGTATCATCTCCTCTTCATTCTCATCATCTGATGACACGGGATCAGGGATTTTATCATTATCCCATGCATAATCATCCCCTTCGTCTTCTTCAACCTCACAGTCATCATTTCTTGCTTCATCACCAAAATGAAGACCCAAATCTCTACAGTTTTCTTCCTCAATGCCAGCAATACGATTCTCATCTTCTACTTCAAGGCTACAATCTTCTAATTCGACTCTAGCATCTTCTAATTCTACCCTACCATCATCACCTATATCCCCAAATTCCTCTTCTTCAATTGGAGGATTTATCTAATTTGTCTCACTCGGGGGACATTCTTCTCTGTCATCACCACCACCAGTATTCTCATTGCTCTTTGATGCCTCTATAGATGCCAACATCTCATCAACCTGATTCTTCTTCGAGTTTCCAAGAGGAGCCACAGTTGACACCTTTTGCTTCTTCGTTGGTCTAGCAGACAGAGTTGAACCACCATATGGTGTCCCACGCCTTTTCCATGAATCGTCGATCTCTTTGGTTCAGACACGCTCCCATCACCACCTTTTCCACCTTTCTTTGACTTTTGAACCACTTCTTCACTCCCATCACCACATTTTCCACCGTTTTTCAACTGTTGAACCACTTCCTCACTCTCACCACCACCTTCTCCACATTTTTTCGACTCTTAAACCGCTTCCTCACTCCCACCACCACCTTCTCCACCCTTCTCCGACACATGAACCACTTATTCACTCTCACTAGAGTAATCGAAATGCCTCAACGACCTCCTTACCTCCCTTCCATTGTTTGTCCACTTCATCTTTGCCATCTTCTCGCACCACGAGAAGACCAACAACTTAGAGTTTAAGAGAGAAAAAACCCCAAATCGATTTAGGTTTCTGAG